ACCTCCTGGAGGGTCAATCCACCTCCTGGAGGGTCAATCCACCTCCTGGAGGGTCTTCTTCTTTGTCACTCTCCTTCTACTTCACCAAGTATGATATCCTGCCCAGGGACTGGACTCTCTTGACATCATGCCCAGAGTACATGAGACTACATCTCGCCATCCTTGCCTCTAAGGAGCGTTTTGGCTGTACTGCTTCAAAGACCGAGTCTTGGAACATGGCAGAAATCGTGATGGGGGAGCTGGAACTCCAAGTCAGAGTTGCAACAGCGTCCAGATTCAACTGGCAGCACTGTATCCCAGCATCCTTTGCTGAATGCGAGCATGGATTGGTGCTCGGCAGAAGGCTGGTTTCTGCTGTGGGCAGAGCAAGAAGGCAAAGACAAGGGTACTAGTCAACTCACTTTTGACTAATGACCCCGTCCAATGGGCCTCTCAGGCCTCATTCTCCTCGGCATCTGCCATATGCTGAGCACTGCTTCTTCTGGATTCTATTTTCATGATAAAATACTACTCATCATTGACCTTTTTTAAAATGAGAGTTTACATAGCAAACTATGCTGTCCATTCATTAATTTGCACACAAACTGCTCTATGAATGTCTGCAATCCCCACAATGTGCCAGCCTCTCCTGGTTTCCATCCTTGGGTTCTCTGCTTCCATTTGCCAGGTTTTCCTGTCCCTCCCTGCCTTCTCATCTTTGATTTCTGGGCAGCTAATACCCTTTGGTCTTGAATCATTGAATGCCTTAAGGCAGGCATCCTCAAACTACAGCCCACGGGCCACATGCGGCCCACCGAGGACATTTATTTGGCCCTCCGGGTGTTTTTGCCCCATTTGGTTTTTAACTTCAAAATAAGATATGAGATATGTCCAGTGTGCATAGGAATTTGTTCTTTTTTTTTAAACTATAGTCCGGCCCTCCAATGGTCTGAGGGACAGTGAACTGGCCCCCTGTTTAAAAAGTTCGAGAACCCCTGCCTTAAGGAATACATTCTTCATAGTGTTACTGTTATTTTTTTAAATCATTTTATTGGGGGCTCGTACAACTCATATCACAATCCAAACATCCATCCATTGTTTCAAGCACATTTGCCCATTTGTTTCCAGTCTCATTTTTTGTAGCCCGGAAACACTATTTGGTAGAGAGGTGGCCTCACAAGTGTTTTCAGTTTGTTTCTGGTTTTGGTATGAGAAATGGGCCCTGTTTCGTTTTTTAAACCCATTTGTTAAGAAGATGATTTCTTCGCCATTAATGGCTTTCAGCCCTTTGTCAAAGATAAGGCGGCCATCGCTGGATAGATTTATTTCTGGCTTCTCCATTCTCTTCCATGGGTTTATGGTAAGATGACCAGATGACCCGCTTTTGGTGGGACAGCCCTGAATTTTGGCATTTTTAAAAAGTCCCAATTTTTGGAAAGAATGCACGACAAGCTAGGGAATGGTCTATTTGGTCCATGTAGACCAAATTTTTAATCAAGAACACTCCCCCACCCCCACCCCCACCAGTCAATGGTGTTCTGCTTTAAATCTGGTCACCTTAGTTTATGGGTCTGTTTTTGTACCAAGCTACTTTGGTACTACTGTGGTTGTAGTAAATCCTCAGGTCAGGCAGAAATGGTGAAACTGCCCACTGTTATCTTCAATAATACTCCAGCTCTCTGGAACTTCTTTTCTTTCCATATAAAGTTGGTGATTCATTTTTACATTTCATTGAAAACTATGGTTGGAATTTGGGTTGGGATTGCATTATGTCTATAGATCACTTGGAGCATTGTTGACATTTTTATGATATTACAATCTTACATTTTCCTGTCTATGAGCATGGTATACATGTCCATGTATATAGACTTGTTTTGGTTTCTTCTGGTAGTGCTTTGTAGTTTTCTTTGTATAAGTCTTTTCTGTCCCTAGTTATATTTATCCCTAGGTATTTGTCCTTTAAGCGCTAGTGACATGGTGCTATCTTTCTGAGCTCACGTTCAGATTTATTTTTGTTATTGTTGAGGAATCCAACCGGTCTGTGCTCACCTTGTTCTGGTCACTGTTCTGAAACCTTCTGTTCATTCCAGTAATGTTGACGATTCCCCTTCCCTTCCTAGTTTGCTGGGAGTTCTTATCAGGAAAGGGCACTGAGTTTTATCAAAACCCTTTTCTGCATTGGTGGGAACAATTGTGTAATTCTTTTCCCCAATCTCCTTTTTCCCAAACCTTTTTATTAGCAGCTAATTCAGACATTATACTACTCCATGGTTCAATCATATTAAGCAGTGTTGTACAATCGCCGCCACAATCTGTTACAAAACATTTTCTTCCCTCTTGAAGTATCAGTTCCCACTTACCCTCTCACCTCCTTAGCTGTACCCCAAAGGAACCCCCTCTCACCTCCTTAGCTGTACCCCAAAGGAACCCCCTCTCACCTCCTTCGCTGTACCCCAAAGGAACCCCATCTCATCTCCTTCACTGTACCCCAAAGGGAACCCCTCTACCTCCTTAGCTATACCCCAAAGGAGCCCTTATTTGAATTACTGTCTATAGATTCACCTATCCTGGGTTTCATAGACCAAAAAACATAGGAAACTACATAACAGAGAGTCAAGAAGGCTACCATCAATGACAAAATACAACAGAGACAAGCTCCAATAGGAAAAAAACACAGAACACATTAAAAACCAGATCAAGACAGAGAGTGCTGGAGAGACAGCTGTAGTAGATTAAAATGATTAATCGGACTTGAATGGTTACAACCTCGTCATTTCATCTCCCTTTTGAGGCACTTTGGGCTTGATCTGGTTTTTAATATTCCCTCTCCCCTTTAAAAATCTGGTGTATTATTACATTGATAGAGCTTCCAATGCTGAGCCATTCCTCGCCCTCCCTTGATCATGATGGATTGTTTTTGGGATATGCTGCTGGATTCTACTAGTTAAAATTTCATGGAGGATTCTTGTGTCTGTGTTCAGGAGGGATATTAGCCTATAATTTCGTGTTTCATGGCATCTTTGCCATCACGGTTATGCAGGCTTCAAAGAACGCATTCTATGTATTCACAAGTGTATCTTACTTTTCTCTGTTCTGGAATAGTTTGAACAGAATTAGTATCACGTCTTCTATGAATGTTTGGTAGAATTCTCCGGTAAAGCTGTCCAGAGTGGTGGCTTTGGTTGTTGGTAGGGGTATTTTAGGATCTCTTCATATCTTCTTTGGTTATGGGTCTATTTAAATGTTCTAACTCAGCATCTGTTAGTTTAGGTAAGTAGTGTGTTTTCAGAGATTTGTCCGTCCCTTTGGTGCTTTCACATTGGTTGGAGCACAGTATGTCCCAGTATTCTGTTATGATCCCTTTTTCTAGTTGTTTCTGGTGTAATGTCACCCACCTCATCTTTAAGTTTTGTCACTTGCATCGTCTCATTCTCTTCTTCAGTCAGTTTGTCAGTGGTTTCCTGATTTTGTTGACTTGCTCGAAGAACCAACTTCTGTTCTTGTTGATTTCAGTTGTATTTTTTTTTCTCCTCAACTCTTTATTTTTCCTTTCTTCTTGCGATGGTGGACTTCTTTTGCTGCTCTCTGACATTTCTTTTGATTCAAGGAGGAAACATTATAATTCACCCACCATGTTCATCAATCATTCTCCTCACTCAAAATGCAGCTGTCAATCAATGCACTAGTCTCAACTTTCTCGATCCCCTTTGGCGTGCTCTACTCCTCAAAGGATTTTCATGTTCATTGCCCCAATCAGCATAATCTATAGAGAAGAATCCAAATTTTCTTTCCCCCAAACTCTTCTCTTCCTGCTTATGTATAATCCTGCACCACAAACTTCCCAGGAGGCGAGTCTGAAATTCTTACTGTTAAGGCAAATTGGTTATCATAGGTAAAGTTGAATCATCTCAATACTCAGATTCGTCATGGCTTTAATTTACCTGCATACACTATTCCTGAGTAATGACTCTGGGCAGACAGTGAACTATGAATCGAATAGTATAAAGGGGAAAGAGGTTCTGCCTTTGCTTTGTGACTAAGAGTTGATCTCAAAGAGGGAGAAATCATGTGTTCAATCAAGATGCTATGAATGAGACCTTGATCCTTCTCCACTAGAAGCTGCAGCAAGTCACATAAAGACAAAGAAGTATAGAATGCATGACAGGATCGGAGAAGATGAGTAATTTGGAAAATGGTAGCTCATAATGTAGAACAAATAAGTTGAGGACAGGATGGCCTTACACTACTTGCTAAGACATTTGGCTGTTTATTTAGTAGGGCAAAATGCCCTGCCTAGCCAAGTGAGTGATGTCGCTCATCTACCAGTCATGGATGTGTTCTATGGTTTTTAGCCCAACGTTCAATTACTCTCCAAAGCCTGTTGCTATGCCCTTCATGCTACCCCTTCCATCTGTTCCTTCGGTTCTTCTCATTCTTCCAGTTTCAGGTTGTCAAATTCCGTTTTACAACTGGCTGTTTCTAAAACAGCCTCTTGATTCCTTACTGACAGAATGTACCTATTATTTTTTCCCCTTCAATGTTTAGATTGGTGAAATCCTGACTGAAATTTTGGGAATCTAAAGTATTTCAATACGTTTTGACAATATTAAGAACACATTTGTTTCAATTGACTTGCATTTAGGAAGGAAAAAGTATATTCTACAGCTTGGTTTTCAAAGGGTTGGTGATTGGATGGAGAAGGTGTGTGTTGTCATGGAATCAAGCAGGGCCTGTCTCCCAAATCCAAGACGTGGGGATGCTTGTGTAGACACTTGAGATCAATTCACTCTAGAAGCAGAGGAGCAAGCAGGGTACCAGTTAGCAAAACTGTGCTTTTCCTTCACCAAATGGATCATTAGTCAAAAATCCCATTTGAAGAAAGGAAAATATTGTTTACACTATTGAATTCATTAAGATACTTCAAGCCAAGTTCTCAAGCAACTTACATTTCCAGTTATCCCAGAGGAATAGAGCTTTAAAGCAGACTGCAGAATGAGACCATAGAAATTCGCTGAGCTACAGAATTTCAAGCAACCTCTTATCCATTTGCAGAAGCACAGAACCCAATTATAGTCATGCTTTAGAGGCCTAGTGCAAAACCAAGTCCAAGTCCATACTTGAGTGTGAGCCTTCATGTGTAAGTTTAATGATTAATGCAGAGCTCTTTAACTCGAACCCGCTTTCCTTCAAACTACATATCAACAGCAGCTGCTTTAGAGTGCAGATTAGAATATGTATTCCATAAACTAGCCAGCGCTTCATACCCAACTCCCATGTTTGAGGAGTTAAAAAAGAACTGAAATGTAGGAGCCATTAGTCAACATTATCAACATTAAAATGCTACTGAAATCCAATACTTTGGGCTGCGTCATTTTTGGAAGGTCACCATTGGTATTTCACTAATGTAGTATACCACAGTACACCTGCCAAAATATAAGATCATCTGGTGCATCGGTGAACAAAAATATCACCCAGAGAACTTATAAGAAACTCCTTAAGAAAAAGAGACTCTCATATAAATCATGTAATTATTCTCTCTCTATGGAAACTCACACCCTTTAGAATACATAACTTTTGAACATCAACAACTATGAATGTTTCCTATTTAACTCTGATCAGCTCCGGGTAGAGGGCTAAAGCCAATTAAGAATTTGACACGATCCTACAGCTCATCCATGACATTTACTTGATGCCACTCTTCAAATGAGAAATGCCACTTTTAGTGAAACATTTTATCTGGGGTTTCCAAATTCAGACTCGCCATCCATTAACTAGCCTCGTTGATCTCCTTGTCCATCCCTCAGCAAGCTCCCTGTAGGCTCCTCTAAAGCTCAGGTTGGAAAAGTCCTTGCTAGTCTGTGTTGGTGTTAGTCCCTGTGCCTTCTGAAGAACACAGAATACTTTTGGCACACTATCCGTTAGAGGCAAGGATAGCAAGGCTTTGCCTTCCATGCTTTGAACAGGCGAGACCAGTCCCTGGAGAAGGACATCATGCTTGGTCAAGTGGAGGGGCATCGAAAGAGAGGAAGGCCCTCAACGAGGAGCATTGACACAGGGGCTACTACAGTGGACTCAACCGAAGAATAATTGTGAGGGTGGCGCAGGAGAGGGCAGTGCTTTTGGTCTGTTGTGCATGGAGTCGCTATGGGTTGGAACCCACTCGATGGCACCCAACAACGACAACAACCCACTGACTGTAGAGCTCCTTACTGCAAGGAGACCCCTTCTCTTAGCTCCATTATTAGACAAGTCAGGGAATGCTGCTGGTTCTCAGAGCCTTGTCAATACCTGGTTTTCATCCCAGCCAGTCAGAAATATGTGATAACTCAGGAAGTGAGCTCTCCCTCTCTCACTCATTTGTGTTTCCAGGGAAAGTAGGAGATCAGCGAACCACTCAAAGGCTCTCGCATCCCGGCAGATCCAGTAGAAATACACCTGTCAGGAGAGAAGGCAAGAGAACAGGTTGGCCCCTCTTTCCATAATGTGCTGATCATCACAGCCTACTTTATCTCCATTTAAATGACTGGAGCCCAAATGGGCGCTTCTGAAAAACAACACGCTTCTCCCTGCCAGGGAACAAACAGGCACAGTCTGATTTCTTTTGGAAAAACAACAACAAAAAAAACCACCACAGGAAACCCCCTCACATTGTGTTTGAAAGAGCCCAGAATGAATTCAGAGCGCTGGCAGCCTGTAAGCTGCTGCCAGATCCCTGGATGAGGATCAATTCCCCACATGGCTGGCTGGGCTTCTTGGAAACGAGATTAATAATCACAACTCTGTATGCCTTCTTTTACTCCCCCAGGCAGGATAAGTCCGGAGACCAACTCCCTTCAATTTTACTTAGGACCTAAGCTCAGGATTTGAACTCTGCTCTCCGGAGAGTCCGAAGGCTAGTGAACTAATCCACTCAAACAGCTATGACCTCTGGGGGGGTGCAGATTATGGTAATTGCAGAATCCACCCAGAGAGGTCAGAAATCTCCCTTCAGCCAGATATACCGGTGCCCATGGAAGCTGATGGGTGACCTGTGGGATGTGTGTCAACTGCCGTAATGGAATGTCTAAGAAGGCTCTCTCTCTCCATATCTCTCAAGCGAAGGCAAGTATTCTGAGTTTAATAAATGGGCTGAGATAGGGGATAGTTTGGCTTTGTTCAAACAAAGGCTTCCTTTTGATGCCGAGTTTCAGATGAGCGCACCTGGGAGAAGTCAGAGGAGAGAGAGCTACTTGTTCGTCTGACTTCTCTTGCTCTTTGACCCTCGGCTGTCCCCACTCCTTCCACACTCAGAGGGCTGATTATGGTGGTAGTTGCTAGGTGCCATCAAGCCAGCCCCAACCTATGAAGACCCTATGTACAACAGACCCCAACACTGCCTGGGTCCTATGTCATTCTCATGATTCTTCGTGTGTTTGAGCCCAGTGTTACCTCTACTGCATCAGTCTATCTCTTTGATGGCTTTCCTCTTTTTCACTGCCTGAGATAGCTAGTTTATTGTGCCAGCCTGGCCGATAAACCCAAGTGGTATTAACTGAAGGGCAGAGAGATAAATGGCTCGGTGAGCCTCGCCTTTCTTGTCTCTTGCTCTTTCATCTTCGGACCAGTGTGCTGCTGCCTTGCTTGTTGTGCCTCAATTTAGAGGCTACACTACCTGTGGGACGCCTAGCCTGTGGACTGTGTTGCTGTAAGTTGAGGTCCCTTTAAGACCACACGATTGGAATTTACATCTCTGGAGCTGGGGACTGACAGTTGGTGACCTGGCTGACTGTTGTTAGCTGCCTGACTGTTTTGCTGCCTGTGCTGGGATAGCCTAGCTCTCTCTCTACAGAGGACTACCGGACAGCCCTCAGGACTTGAAGGACTGCTAGTGTCTTATAACTCTCTCACAGGAGTGAGTTGCACTGAGCCGTTTGTACTGCTTTATAATTTAACTGTTCATTTCTTGTATTATCTATCTATCTGTTTATAATTTAACAGTTCATTACTTGTGTTATATATCTATCTGTTTATAATTTAACAGTTCATTTCTTGTGTTATATATATCTATCTTTATAAATAAATAAATAAACAAACAAATATATATATATATCAATAATTATCAGCAATCTGGTTTTATCTCTCTAGAGAACCCTGTCTAACACACTGCCCCTCCCCTTTACCAGGCATCGTGTCCTTTTCTGGGACTGGTCTCTCCTGACAACATGTCCAAAGTGAGATGATGTCTCCTACTTCCAAGGGGCATTCTGGATGTACTTATTTCAAGACATATTTGCTTGGTCTTTTGGCAGTACATGGTACTTTCAGTATTCTTTACCAGCACCACAATTCAAACTCATTGATTCTTCTTGGGTCTTCCTTTTTCATTGTCCAACTTTCTCATGCATATGAGGTGATTGAAAACACCAACGCCTGGTCAAGCCCACCTTGGTCCTCAGAATGACATCCTGGCTTCTCAACACGTTAAAGAGGTCTGTGCAGCAGACTGACCCAGTGCAATGCCTCCTTTCATATCTGAACTGTTATTTCCGTAGCATTGATTGTGGATCCAAGAAAGACAAAATCCTTGAACTTCAATCTTTTTCTGTTTATCATAATGTCTCCTATAGTTCAGTTTTGGGCTCAGTAGAATATGTCACCCCCACCCCCGAAAACTAAAACCCAAAACAACAACCACAACAACAACAACAACAAAATCCTCAAAACCCAAATCACTGATATCAAGTCAATAGCTACCTTGTTAGACTCAATCCTCTTTGAAGTCCCGAGGCTATAAATATTTTTTAAATTAAAAGATCATTTTATTGGAGGCTCTTACAATACTTATAACAATCCATACATCAATTTTATCAAGCATATTTGTACATATGTTGCCATCATCCTTTTCTAGACATTTACTTTCTATTGGGCTCTTGGTATCAGCTCCTCTCCCCCTGCCCTGTGACCCCTTGACAAATTATAAATTATTATTATTTTCATATCTTATATTGCCCGCTGTCTCCATCCCCCCATGGTTTCTGTTGTTCGTCCCCCTGGAGGGTGTGTGTGTGTGTGGTTATATTTTGATCATTGTGACCAGGTCTCCCAATAAATTTTATAGGCTATAAATTTTGAAAGGATCAGAAAGCCTCATCTTTCTTTCTCAGAGCAGTTGGTGGGTTCAAATTTCTGATCTTGTAATTAGCAGCTCAACACATAATCCACTACATATCAACCAATTCTTAGCTAACTCCCATCTTAAAGGGCTACACTGTAAGAGTTCTTACCAATACCTATATGAGGGACAGGATTTCAGGACAGAGCAGTTCCTAGAAAAGGACACTGGTAACATGGACGGTCAGCCAAAAGGAGGATGACCCTTAAGGAGAAGGATTGGCACAGGGGCTGCAGCCAGAGACTCAGCCATAAGAACAATTTGAGGATGGCACAGGACAGGGCAGTGGGTGGCGGATAGGTTGCCCTGAGTCTGAAAAGATTCAAGGGCAGCTAGCAATAGCAACCTGTGGGGGACTCTATGGAGTTCTTGGGTGGTGCAAATAATTAACATACTAACTGCTGACCAAAAAGTTGGAAACATCCTTCTGAGAAACCAGTCAATGCAAACCCATGGAACACGGTTCTACACTGACGTACATGGAGACTCCATCAAGAGTGGTCTGCAGGGGCTGGGCTCAATTCCAGAGTCCACGTGGGTGTCTCCTCACCTGAATATATCCCTGGCAATGGCTAGCCAGCACGCCCTCCCTTCCACTGTCAGCCTGCCTGCAAGCTCAAAACCATGCCCAAAAAAGCTGTGGGTGAGATTTAATTAACAGACAGAATTCATGAAGGCTGGGGAAACACAGAATGGATTTCAAGGCTAAGCATCTCACCTATTCTCCTCAGGTGTATGCGTGAATGTATAACATGGATTGTGGGGACGAGGAAAAGATGGTGAGGAAATGCTCTTTTCTCTCAAGAATCCAACCCTATGTATCTAGTGGGCAGCTGTGAGGCACTCAGGATACCAATTCCAGGACAAATGGCCCCTCCCTCCCTCAGCAGGATTACTTCCCCAGAGAAGCGGCTCTTTCTCTCTCTCTGACCTCATCTCTTCTAGAGATTATGAGAGCAAAGTCTCCAGACAGCCAGGTACTGTGCACGTGGACATGCTTCCCCACTCCGTCATTAAGGTCATGACCAGGAGGGACTCTGGAATAGATCATGGAGCCCTGGTGGCACCAGGGTTACACGTAGTGGTTACTTGACAAAGTCAGCAGTTCGAAACCACTAGCTGATCTGAGGGAGAAAGACAAGGCTCTCGACTCTCGTAGAGTTACAGTCTCAGAAACCCACAGGGGCAGGCAGTACTACCCCGTCCTATAGGGTCACTTTGAGTTGGCACCAACTCATCTTTTTTTTTTTTGAGTTGAATAGAAGGAAGAGAAAGAGAATGAAAAGATAAAGACTCTCATGAACTTTTTGAAGTCCCCTGAACATACCAGATGCCCACCACATGTCAAGGCACTGTTCTAAGCACCAGCACGATTAATGCCAAACAACCAAACCAATGACGCAAGTTGATCACAACTCATGGCGACCCCATGTGCGTCAAAAGGGAACTGTGCTCCGTAAGATATTCAGTGGCTATGGTCGTTGGCCTAGTGGTTATTCCCTGGGCTATGAACTCTCAGGTCAGCAGTTCAAAGACACCAGCTACTCCATGGGAGAAAGATGAGGCTTTCCACTGCCATAAAGGGTTACAGTCTTAGGAATCCCCAGGGGCAGTTCTGTTCTGTCCTATAGGGCTGCTGTGAGTCAGAATTGACTTCATGACAGTGAGTGAGTGGTCCTTTGGAAATAGCCCACCTGGCTTCTCTTCCTAAGTACTGCTACATGCATTTGAATAGCCAGCCTTTTGGTCATTGTCTGAGTGCGTTAGCACTTGGGCCCTCAAGGGAGCCGCCTGGAACGGTGACAGAGAACAAAAAGAGGAGCCTCACTCCCTGGAGTTTGTGTGTCTTAAAAGGGAAAAAAGAACAATAAGTAAATTGTAAAATGTGTCAAATGGTGATGGGTAAGATGGAGAAAGCTCAGGCAGTCTGGGAGGGACTGCAGGGTAAGAATGGTCCCGGACCTGCTGAGATGGTGACAGTGGGCAAAAGCCGGATGAGCAGAGGGAGGCAGAGGGAAAACTGTTCAGGTGGAGGGACAGAGATTGGCTACTTTGAGGTGAGGTCTCTGAAGAAAGAGCTGTCAGAAAAGCAGACCGTGTGATTGGGAGGAGGGCTGGAGAAATGGGAGGGTTATGGGGCGTTGTGGGTTCTCTTGATACGTGGCTTGTTTTACCTGAAAGCATTGATGGAGCACAGATGGTGGCCTTGGACAGAGAACATACATCCTTTAATTTATTTCCTAAATTTCCCGTCCTTTCGGGAACATGCTTAACAAACATTTAT